AACTTGCTTATATTCTCTAAGTAAGGACGTTTAACAGCCAATATTATCCAGGAAGTACTTAGTTAAGATGCTCTTTCATCGGCTGTGATCCCTACGAAATGTTTTAACTATTATGTTTAACGACTGACAATAATTTCCTTTCCTTTTATCAAATGCATAAAAACTAAGAACGGTGTGTTTATGACATTTAAGGTTTGATTGTGGAAGGTATTTGATTAATAGAACATATTAAAGTTAAGACACAGAAATCTCAGGAGCCACGCAGGCCCTGACCACACAAACAAGCTAAGCCCACAGTGTGCTTTTGCCAGACGGTGGAAAAACTGAGAAACGAGAGGCAGTAAGGCTAAAACAAACTACATTCTGTGGTCGAGACGACGTCCTTTATTTTAATCCTTATTCATTTTAGCCTAAAACTCCTAGCCAAATTTAATTTAGTTTTTATCAAACTTGCGTTCATTAGTTCTTTTTCTCTCTTAGACTCAAATCCTTTCACAATAGACCAACTAAATTCACATTGAACTCCATCATTCTTATTGATTGCATTCTGTTTGTTTAATCATTATCATTGTTTTATTTCTTTGATATATTTAACCTCACTGTGTATTCACTTTAGTTAGTTAATAAATTTGACCTTAATAACAGGAACTGTGCGTGTGTACTGTTTAAATCAAGGTCACTGGACGGAGGATTCTCGACTTTGATATGAGACAATTACTAACTAAGTACATAATTGTGTGATTATTAAAAATCATACCTAAGGTCTCCTGAAGGCCTTAGGCAAACGGAATTTCAGGTGGTGCCCCAGAAACGAGAGTTTATGAATTCATATTTCCAAATATTCATATTCATAACTTTATCAACCAATGATTACGTAGGTTCACAACAATAAACACGTTAGTTAGTGGTCACACTTATAATCACACTGCTAGTGTAGTACTACAATTCGGGATTGGTTTGGAGTCCCTGAATCACATGCCATAGAAGCTATTGAAAAAAAGATTTTTTTCGCCTTAAATATTAATAAATATTAATATAAATTAGAATATGCACTCAAATCTAATATGAAGATGTGTGTCGCATTTGCCTAGTGTACCACTACAATTCGGCACTGGTTTGGAGTCCTAGGGTCACATGACATAGAAGCTTTTGAAAAATAAAGCATTTTTTTCCATAAATTATTAATAAATTAATATAAATTCAAATATGCACTCAAATCTCATAAGAAGAGGTGTGACTCATTTGCCTAGTGTAACACTACAATTCGGGATTGGTTTGGTGTCCTTGGATCACATGACATGGAAGCTATTGGAAATAAAGCTTCTTTCCCCCATAAAATATCAATAAATATTAATATAAAACACAATATGCACTCAAATCTAAAATGAAGAGGTATGTCTCATTTGCCTAGTTTAAAACTACAATTCGGCACTGGTTTGGAGTCCTAGGGTCACATGACATAGAAGTTATTGAAAAATAAAGCATTATTTTCCATAAATTATTACTAAATTAATATAAATTCAAATATGCACTCAAATCTCATAAGAAGAGGTGTGTCTCATTTGCCTAGTGTAATACTAAAATTCGGAATTGGTTTGGTGTCCTTGGATCACATAACAAGGAAGCTATTGACAACAAACCATTTTTTCCCCAATAAATATTAATAAAAATTCAGATAAAATTAAATATGCACTCAAATCTAATATGAAGATGAGTGTTTTATTTGCCTAGTGTAGTACTACAATTCGGGATTGGTTTGGAGTCCCTGAATCACATGACATGGAAGCTATTGAAAACAAATCATTTTTTCCCAATAAATATTAATAAATATTCAGATAAAATGAAATATGCACTCAAATATAATATGAAGATGAGTGTCTTATTTGCCTAGTGACTACTACAATTCGGGATTGGTTTGGAGTCCCTGAATCACATGACATGGAAGCTATAAAAATAAATGGTGATTTTCACCAAACACTGTTTTAACAATAGTAATTTATTGATGGTCCCTAAACTGACCCCCGGTGGTTAAATGCGAGCCATCAGAGGTGAGCTAACTTAACTTATACTTATACCAACAGCTGAGTTAGAAGCAGTCACTGGATCCTGGCTGAAAGGCTGTCGAATATCCAACTTAAAACTAACTAACCGCGGTTAAATACCGTTACTGAGAGGTTGTGACGCACTTTATTGTGATGGTTTTACAGCAGTAATTTAATATTATTATGTGACTGTCACTATTCATTTGGCTTGGTACGTACTAAGTAGTGGTCATTTGCTTTCTTACCGTTTGGTGTTAACGTTATTCCAAACGCAGTCAGCAGACAGAAACAGAAGAAGAGGAACTCCCAAGCTGTCGACATGTTGGTGAAATATCTTCAAGCTAGTTAAATGTCCCAATAAACGGACAGTAAAAAGCTCTTGAACACTTTAAAAGGGCAATTTACTTGAAGAGTCGTCCGTATTTCGACGCTGAAGAGTTTTTTGGTTGTTGTTGTTGTTTACCACGACAGCGCTGATGCGACAGTTAAGGATAAACTACGACATGTTTCCTGGGTCGAGTTCAATTCTACATGTTCACTTGCGCAATGTTCTGCAACGGACTTCCAGGTTTGTTTTTTTACCAAGTCAAAACCACTATTAATTAATAATACTAAAAAAAAGTTAGGGGCATGATGTCTTTTTGTCAGTGATCTGAAGATTTTTTATTGCAGGGCCATATTGTTGTAAACTGTGTTGTTTTTTTTTAAACTTATGTAATACTAAAGTGTTTCCAAAAATCATTCTTTATAACGCTTAAAGGTTTCCTGTTGTTTAATAAATGATGTGTTGTCTTCTAGTTCACCCATTAAAGCCATTGTCCATCTTGTCATTTCCCACCCTGTCATTTCTACGTTTTATGAAAATAAACAAATTATTTTCACAAAACAGTTTTATCAATAAAAATATTCCAAAATGAACCAAGAAATGATGTGGAATATATTTTTTTCATGTACCATAAAAATGTGTGCAGTAGAGGGTTAACACTAATGACTAACTTTGGACCACAAAGACTTTCAATAGAATAAATACAAACATGGACTTACAAAGGTTTGGACCGCAGCCCAGTGGGGCGTGGTGCTACAGTCCACAGCTGAACCTTATCAATGTTGTACGGCTGTTGACATGCTCAGTAATCCTTTAAATGTGAATTCCTGCACCCCTAGAAAATACATTTGCGACCTGCCCTTCAACACATGTTTGAAACACTTACAGACAGTCTGGTGTTTCTACCATCTTCAGTGTTTTCTTCAGTGCCCTAATATTAACCTTGTCAACACAGTTTCCTCTCTCCTGTGTCTACCAGCTACCCTACTACCTCTGACACTCTTGAACTTAAAACTTAAACTTTTACTGGTATTTCCACCCTGCTGTCTGATTTATTACACATAAGAACAATTAATTACTGATCAGGAGTCAGTGACTATCAGCCAGAGTTCAGAAATAAACCTGAGCAGCAGCTAATCGAAGCAAACAAACCTGATATTTAACACAGAAACCAGGTCTGATGGCTTCATGCGGGTTCAGAGAAGAACAGTCACAGATCCTGGATTCACTTGTGACGTCTGAAACTGTTTCAAACATATTAAACTGCAGGCTGCACAACTTTGATAAGTGAAAGATCCCATACAGACGTGTTTTAGGACATAATATCTAATTTAAAGTTCAATGAGCTTGGTAAAAAAAAAGTTAAAACTACACCTACTAGGTACTGAACTTGGTATAGGTTTGTGCACTATGTTCACCTGGGAAGAAAGTTATTCACATTACAAGATACAAACGTTTGACCAACAAGTAGCCTGTCTGAACACTGAGTTTTCAAGGTGCTGTGGCTGCACCCTCACAAACACCTGAGAAACCAATCATAGAAATATACAAACGTACAAGGCTAGACACAAAAAGCTATTAGAGAATAAAATATACAGAGTTTGCTCTAATGTTAAATTATTTTATTTTTCAAGCATCAGTCATATCAAAAGCATTAAACACTTCACACGTTCACTGAACATAAGCTTTAACGATCAGAGTCAGTAATACAAAAGTCCAAAAAGCTCCTTCAGCCGACAAAAAACTGAAGAAAAAATAAAACCAGCAGCGATTCAGTAGCGCACAGAAGATAGAGCGCTGTCTGCCTGTCTGTTCACATGAGGAGCTCAGAGAGACCCAGCGGATCCAAGAGAGTACGCAGGCAGAGAGTCGCTCCCCGTCTGAAAAGGCCTAGACGGGCCTGATGCGTGGAGTAAAAACGTTTTCTGTATTGGTGGTCAAGTAGACAATTAACAGGAAGCCAAAACGGCCCTCAGGCCACCAGGAAATCTCCCGGTGCTCCTGGGGGCCAGTCCGCTAGTCTACTCCAATAACAAAAAACAAAAGTTCAGTCCCGTCCCATGTTTAGCTGCCCAAAGAACTTTTCACACCAGGGAGGAAACACATTTACACATTCAAGCCAATAAAGCTAATGAGAGAGAGAGACTACACAAAATACACACAGAGGTACAGACAGTAAAGTGATGATGCTATAGACTGAATGAATAATGATGCAGATAATAATCGTAATGTTAATTATAACAATCGTAATTTTAATAAAAATCGTAATGTTAATGATTATAACAACAATAGGACTAGTAACAAGTTGTTGCAGCAGAGGGTGTCGAGCAGGAACACGGGGGCAGCAGGTGACCCGAAACCACAGATCCAGACTCCACAGCTCCAGAGCCAGAAAACCTGCAGGAAGTGATAGGAGGAGAGAGAAGAGGGACGAGAAAGCACAAAACTACCAGAAAGGGGAGAAGTTGTGTTAGTAACATGCAATAATGGGATGAGGTTGCATACAGAGGGAGAGAATAAACACGAAATGATAAAATCCCTGAAATGAACAGCCTTTGTGAAACTTGTAAAATCTTTATTGATCTCTTCTCAGTAAGGCCCGTGTCCACCAAAACCGTTTTTTACTGACGCCAGCGTCTTCTTTCAATTCATTGCAACGGGATTGATGTCTGCACATCATGGATATGTTGATACAATCCATTATCTAAACTCACCTTTATAACAGCGTGCTTTGATGAACTTTATAGCAAGTTCTTGCAGCAGTTCAGCCAAGTTAGAACTGCAGCAACAGTTAGAGCTGCCAAAAAGAATCCACTAAAAAACCATCCTATGACCTCCCCTCTGCTGTATGTGTCCTCAAACAGTTTCTCTGAAACACACAACAAAACCTAGAGTCACACTCAGATGTACAGCAATAATATCTGGCCTGCAGCCAGATTGCTTTGATAGCCTAAAAATAATAAATAAATAGATAAATAGAAAGTGGCTGGTGCTGAAAAAGATCTGTCATGACAGCTACTCGTTTTTGCAGCAATGCTTTCTGTCGTTTATTGAGAGCTTTTACTTTGACAAGTCCTGAAGGACATTCACAAGAGTCTCTGGCCTGCTTGACACACCTCTGAAAAAGCTGCCAGTGTACGTGTAATTAGAGTCCCCTGAATTTCTTCAGGCAAATGAAAATAAGCATCCTTTGGTTTATTAATGCGGATCAAATGCTGAACATGCTTTATTCTGAGCATGTGCAAAAGTTTCATTATAATGAATTTGTTTAACAAGGGAGAAGAAAAAATCTGCAGGATGTTGGGATCGAACAAACAACTCTCCCATCGGGAGTCCCGGCTGAGCTAAACATGTAATGGCTTGAAAATGAATTGGTCGGATGTCAGACTTATTTGCAGACCATGTCCAGCACACTGATTATTACCTACACAAAACAGCTATGGTGGCCATGCTCCTAAAAGCTATGAACATTTAAATTTTAAACATTTTAAACATTTAAAACACCAGATGAACATCTAAAACTATTTGCAGATAAAACCACTAAGATGAATCTCACCTGGCACAGTGATGTTAGTACTGATCGTATGGCCGATGTCCTCCTGCTCGACTACACAGTGGACGGTCTTCTTCACAGTAGTTTGGAGGATGATGTAGAAACTGCCTTCTCTTTCTGAGACCTGTGGCTCCTCAGCAGGAAGTTTGTTTCCAGCACTGTCCTGCCACTCTACTGTAGGTTTTGGAAAAGCACCTCGAACTTCACACTGCAGCAGGACCCCAAACTCTGTGATATTAACTATCGTGATGGACGGCTCTGCAGCTGCACCTGTGAACACAGTAATAAGAAAACAATACAAACAGTTACAGAAACAATTGTTAGTTGCAGTCCTATACAAAAGTATCATTATATATATTTAGCATTTATGAAGTTAAATTCAAATAGGGAATTTATGCAGGGAGTGAGATTACAGTCTAAGCAGCTGGCTGATTTCTGTGATCCGTTACTGCAGTGCTACAGTCTGTCTGAACACAGTTTCACCAAGTATTTAAAAGGCTGATGTGCCGTTTACATCGTGACCCACAGAGTCCGACCTTAAAGACACATCAGGAGAAACTAGTGGAGAGTCTTGATTTTAATGTCTCTGATCTCTACATCTGCAATGTCTGTGCTACAACTTAGTCACCTTAGAGCTGGGTGATATTCAAGATGTTTGACAGAACACCAACAATTTAATGAAAACATTGTCCTTTATCATAATGAACCAAGCCAACAGAACATCTTCAGATGTTATATCAGCTTCAAGTGATCAGTCTAACAGTGTTGCTGGTGGCTACAGGAAATTTCCCCTCTGAGGATACAGCATGAGTCTAAGTGTACTTCACATGGTAACAGAAATAATCTTGGAGCCATTTGTAATCTTTCTGGTTCAGATCATCATCAAGTAGATCAGAGTAGACTTTTTTTTTGTCCTAGAATCAGCTGATGCAGAGATCAGTAACATCAAAATCTGGAAGCACCAACGATTTCTCCTCATCTGTCTTGTCAGAGAGATGGCTAATAGATATCTGATCAACAAATATTTTTTCTCAAAATTAGATATTGATCTCGTTATTATCAGATGCATTAATATATATTGTCAACTTCTGGACTGACCTTCTGTACATCTGTAGTGATTAGTCAACATGAAGATACTGCATCAAATGTTTTAAAGATACTGAGGACACACCACAGATGTGGAGTTTAAAATTGTGATTTCTCCTGATCGGTCTCTAAAGGTGAGGTCTGAACGAGAACATTAGTTAACAAAATTAGAATATGAATTCATGCACAGTGAATGTGATGTTATTAACTAGTCATGTGTTATTAGACTATTTGTGGAATCATTTGTTAATATTTAAAATAGAGTCGGGGAAACATGAGCAGAGGCTGATTCACACAGAAAAGTATTTAAGCCACGTATTTAATGAGAGAGCTGCATGTTTAGATCATCATCTAGTGACTTGATGACAAGATGCGTCAGAATCTATCAAAACATAGTTCAGCTGGTGAAACTGATTTGCCAGAACTCTATTTACCAATTTCCTGTTTGCTTATTCACTCTGTTGCACAGAGCATTGATTGAAAGGCAGGAAAACTAGCAGCAGAAGACTACAAGCAGGGGTGTAACGGTTCTGAAACAGACACTGAAACAGACACTGAAACAGAGACTGAAACGTCAACGGTCTCGTGTCACAGTTCCGTCCCTCCCTGCACTGATGCGTTCACTTTTCCTTCATAATGTAAAATCTCCACCATGTCCACATGCTGTAACGTAATGCCAAATAACATCTCTGTGTTTCCCAGCAAAATGCTAAACTGGGTCACCAATATGTTAGGATGACTCGCCCAAGTAAAGTCTATGTGGGAAACACTGTATTTAAAGTTAGCGTGAGCTGTAGGCCTATTTTTTTTTTAATCACATTACACCTTTTTTTCTTCCAACTGTGTGTGTCGTGACAATTTTGGTCCAGTCATGATTGAGTGATCATGACTGCAAGTCAGACTAGTTTAATTTACCCAAGATGGATAATAATAATAATAAATAATAATAATAATACCTAAAAACCTGAAAGGACAGCTGGAGATCTTGATGAACAAAATAGATTAACTGTTCATCCAGGTCTTTATGGACCTCGCTTTGTGCACTGGTGCATAATCATGTTGGAACAGGAAGGGGCCGTCCTCAAACTGTTTCCACAAAGTTGGGGACATGAAATTGTTCAAAATGTCTTGGTGTGCTGAAGCATTAACAGTTCCTGTCACTGGAACTAAGGGGCCGAGTCCAACGCCTGAAAAACAACCCCACACCATGATGCCCCCTCCACCATACTTTACACCTGGCATAATGCAGTCAGGCAAGTACCGTTCCCCTGGCAACCGCCAAACCCAGACTCGCCCATCTGATTACGAGATAGAGAAGCGTGATTTGTCACTCCAGAGAACACGTCTCCACCGCTCTAGTGTCCAGTGGCGGCGTGCTTCACACCGCTGCATCCGATGCTC